TGAGGAGTGTGTCCTTTATGTTTCCAGGGAGCTGCAAACTGGATGGTCCCACTCTGACCTCTGGGCTTCCTGGCTCCTGGATCTGGGAGGTGCTGCTAATCTAGCCTTTGCCTGAGGCTATCCAGCAAAAGCCTCCCTGCAGGGCTTGGGCGGGGCAGGTCCCACGGGATCACAGGGCGGGGTTAGCAATTATGGCTGCTCTCAGTCTTGCCCTCAGAGGCTCTGCTTCTCAGTGTCCCAGTAGTCGCTGCAAGCCCCATGGAGAGAAAGCTGCCCTAGGGTTCTGAGCGATGCCAGACAGTCCCGCTTCTCCCGTATGAGTGTGGGTCCTTAGAGACTCGCCCGGAACTGGAGCTCAGAGCCTGAGACTCCCTCCCGATTGAAAACGACAACCGCGCCCTCAGCCTCCAGCCCGCTCCGCATGCACTCCGCACCTTAGTCTAGTTGTAGAATTCCCACTCAGCCAGCCTTCCTGTGGTTCTGGATGATGTCCGTTACGTCTTTTAGTTGTATTTTTGAAGTGGTTGTTTGAGGCAGCAAACTCCAGTGTTTACCTCTGTTTCTATGTATTAGGTAAAGCTGCTGTGTCACCCAGGCTTGGTAGAGGTGTCCTATAGGGTACTGTGGCACAGCTTCCATGATTATTCGAGCTGAGCACCCCAGGTGCACCCCACCCCCGTGTGGGCTGTACACCTTCCTGTTATAGTTGAGCATTAACTGCTGTTGACACATCCATGGGAGGGATTTACTCTCTGGCCGATTGGCTGAAAGGACTGGCTGTAACCACAGTGGAGGATCAGCCATGCAGGGGCCCACACCATCGAGCAGGACTTACTTCACAGGGACTTGGGTGCCTGCTGAGTCTGTCTCTTGAGTGTGTTGCTTGTGGAGGTGGTTAGGAGGTGCTTTGATGTGATCTGAAGCTGTCCAGAAGGTGTGCTGGCTCTAGGGCCTACCTGGTTATGCAGGCCAAGGGCAGCCGCTACCTGTGTCCTGCTAAGTAAGGACACTGGCATGAGCTAATCTGCAGTTGGTTGCTACTTGTACTGGGCTTGACAGTGAATGGGACAGTCTTTGATGAGTATGGACTAGTGTTTCTTATCTCATTCTCATTCGCATAAGATATCAGTAGACTTCCATGAGAAAATAATTCAGTAAGTAAATCAGTTTATAAAATATTACATATTATGTCCTTTCTTAAAGACCCAAGTGCTTACTGGCAAGTTCAAGGCTCTCTGATGTTCTGCAGTGAAGAGATATGTTTAACTTTGACGTGGGAATTGCCCAGATGTTAGGTACTCGATTTGATCCATGTCATTCTTACAGAGCTCATTGTTGTGGGATTGTGGCTCTAATGCTGGTTTTGCTGTGGTTGGAAGGGTAGAGGTCTCGATCGGAGGGAAGTTTCATGGCAGATTATTATGGAGAACCAACTTCTTCAAAGACCCAGGGAAGCCCCAGTGTGTTGGAAGATTCCTTCGCTGGCCTAGAACTCTGCCTCCTGACACGCTGCGTTCCTGGGTGTAGGCAAGTGCCCCTCCCTCTTCCTTCCCTCCATCCTCCCTCTCTCTCAGTGTCAAAGGAGGGCAGAGCATTTGAACTGGTGTCATTTTTAGATATGAGGAATAGTCGTGGTTCTTGTTAAGCCAGATAGAGGTCTGAAACACTTTAATCAAGGATCCGTCAAGGATGGTGCATTTTGCCTGGAGGAGAAACCTACAATGTGTTAAATGAATGTTACAGTTTGGGGAACAAGACAGCCTTGAATGATACAGGACAGCCTTGAGAGATACTACAAGGTCATTTCTGTGAGAAGGACTTAGATATATAGGGAAAGAAGACCAGATACAGCACCTTCTGGGACATGGTATAGGAATTAAGAAATAGCCTTTGTGCAAGATCATGTGCTAAGTGTTTTCCATGAAGGAACTCACTTAGCCCTTGCAAAAACATGTTGAGGAAGACACTCCTCTTCTCAATGTTCATTTGAGGAAATTGGAGCTCAGAGATGTTGAGTAACTTTCCGAGAATCCCAAAGCTTGGAGGTGGTAGCACTGGGATCAGAACCCAGGTCTGGCTGACTCCAAAGACTGTATTTTTCAGAGCCTCACTGCTCTTCCCCAGATGCCCTTGGTTTTCTTCATAATATAGTGTCTTGTTCAAATTCCATAGTGTGGCCTCTTAGCAGAAAGAAGTAAGGACAGGACGCATTTGAAGGTGTGAGAGTTTTGCATTGGTGCCTGTGAATTTGAACCCTTTTGAACAAGCTACCTTTGTTGTTGTAGCAGGACAGAAGCTTTATCTGCTAGTCCTTGCCCCACTGAGTGTTACAGTTCTTTGAGGCAATAAAAAGGGCCATATTCTTAAATAGAGTTACAAAGATAGGGTGGTGCCTTCTCACAGAGTAGAGCATATTAAAGTCTTTTGATAACTGAATACAAGCACCACTGTGGTCGCCCTGATGAGCTAAGGCCCACGTGAGACACAAGACATCCTGTTCTGGAAGACATGCTCTTACATCCCCAACAGGCCAGGTCCTCGGGTTTTATCTGCGAGTAAAGTTGTAATCAGTGTCGTACTGTGCTTTCGATTTCATTTCCTGAAAACGCTCTTATATTTTAAGTCCTTGAGGATACGGGCTTGTGTTGGTGAAAAATGAAAGGTCATAAATGAGAACTACGCAGTCTGCACGGCCTGTGCCCATGACCAGACCAGCTCGTGCCAGGAACACGGCCCCACGTTCTGCGGTTGGCACCTGACACTGAGGGTGGCTCCTGCCTGGGTGGGATTTCAAATGGGTTTCTCTGTCCGCTTTAAAAATCAGAATTGAGCCCTAACCGGTTTGGCTCAGTGGATAGAGCGTCGGCCTGAGGACTCAAGGGTCCCAGGTTCGATTCCGGTCAAGGGCATGTACCTTGATTGCGGGCACATCCCCAGTGGGGAGTGTGCAGGAGGCAGCTGATCGATGTTTCTCTCTCATCGATGTTTCTGACTCTCTATCCCTCTCCCTTCCTCTCTGTAAAAAAATCAATAAAATATTAAAAAAAAATCAGAATTGAAATACTTGAGGATATGGATGTGGTCATGCCTCTCTTCATACACTTGGCATCAAAACAATGGATCAGTGACATCACTTTTTAAAAAACAGTAATATTTTAAAACTATATTGGAGGTTACCATTTAAGAATATTCTTAGAAAAAAAATGCTAAGCCTCCACTAAAATGTTTATCATATATTTTTCTAATCACTACTTCAAAATCTACTGTAATCCCACCCCTAGAATGGAGTAATTTTTGTGTATTTCCAAAATGTGTGACCATAAGCCGTGCCTGCCATCACTTCCATACTTGGGGTTTCAGCATGATGACAACAGCCATGATGGTGGCCATCGCCACACTTGGGTGACATTTGCTCCAGGCAGCCGCCATTTCAAGCACTTTACATGGATTATTAGCTCTTTACTCATTTAAGGGACAGGAGGTGGAAATGAGAAAGTCATTCCTCTGAAGAAAATTTTACCCTTTGCAACAGCATGGATGGACCTGGAGAACATTATGCTAAGTGAAATAAGCCAGTCAGAGAAAGACAAGCGTCATATGATTTCACTCATACGTGGAGTTTGATGGACAAAATAAACAAAAAACAGAGACAGACTCATAGATAGAGAACAAACTGACAGCTCTGGGGGTTAGGGAGTTAGAGTGGGTGGAGGGATTGAGTAAAAAAGAAAGAAAAAAGGGAACTCATGAGAATGGACAACAGCATGGTGATTGCTGTGGTGGGGAGGAGGGGAATGGATTTTGTTAATACTCACCAGAGGATATTTTTTCCATTGACTTTTAGAGAGAGTGGAAGAGGAGGGGAGAGGGAGATGGAGGGATTGAGTAAAAAAGAAAGAAAAAAGGGAACTCATGAGAATGGACAACAGCATGGTGATTGCTGTGGTGGGGAGGAGGGGAATGGGTTTTGTTAATACTCACCAGAGGATATTTTTTCTATTGACTTTTAGAGAGAGTGGAAGAGGAGGGGAGGGGGGGATAGAAACATCCATGTAAGAGAGACACATCTATTGGTTGCCTCCAGCACATGCCCCAACCAGGCCGGGATCCAGCCTGCAACCGAGGTTCATGCCTTTGACCAGGAATTGAACCTGAGAACCTCCAGTGTGCAGGCTGACACTCTAACCACCTAGCCACACCAGCCAGGGCTAGGGATTTAATTCTTTCTCAGTTACCCATTTCCTCTTATTTTGAGCTAATTTCTCTCACACATGAAGTCTTGTTTTTGAGTCTTTGTAGACAAAAAGTACCCATGTTCCTGGTCAGGCAGAAGGTCTTGTACATTGAAGAGCTGTGAGGTGCTAAACTCTGAAGTAGATGCGTTTTCCTCACAGCCTGCCTGACTCACACAGGACAGGGCTGCAGGATGTGGGCTTGGACCAGGGAGTTACTAGGACTCTCTGATGATTTTCTGTCCTTCACAAATTAGAGAATGGCCAGCTAACCCATCATCAAAACTAGGTTTGGTACTGACTTGTACCGAGTAGTAAATAAATCCTGCAAATCTAACGCACAGTACGTGAATAGAGACAACAATATCCTATCTAATAAAAGGCTAGTATGCAAATTGACCCTAATGGCAGAACGACCAGAATGACTGCTCGACCAGTCAGTATGAGGTGCAGTGACCACCTCTCGGTCCCTTTCCCCAGCCGGCAGGCTCCGATCACCCAATGGTGAATGGGGAACTGGGGTTGGGTGGCAAGGGATGTGGGCAGTGCTAGGCCAAGACCCCCGCCCAGCTGGTCGCCCCACACACAGAAGGCGACCTGCGGTGGGGGCAGGGCTGGCGAGCAGGCAGAACAGCCAACCTGTGTCCCTGTGTTCCTGTGTCACTGCCCTTTTGTTCCATTGGCTGTGGCCTGAGCAAGGATGGACGCTGTGGAATCATGGCCACTGGCCCCTGGGATGTGGTGGGAGGACTCCCTCAGGAGGAACTGTGGCAGAGCAGGCCACGTGCCCTGGGCAGCTTAGTGTTTCATTTCCTTTACTTCCTTGTCTGTCCCCAGGAAGAGCTGTCTGAGGAAGTCGGCCAGGATGGCAGCCATGTTCAGATCCCCGTTCACGTCCACAATGCCACATGCACAGTGAGGATCGCCGCCGTCACCACAGGAGGGGCCGGGCCTTTCAGTGACCCCGTGAAAATATTCGTCCCTGCACACGGTGAGAGCCGGGCTCCCTCAGCTGCTGGAGCCGTGCATCCAGGCAGCACACAGATGGCCAGCTGGGGGATGGACAGCTGGCTTAGGGCTGAACCGTAAAGACCCGTTTGCCATGGTAAAGAAACTCGATAGGGTCACACCTCAGTGTGAGAGGCCTCCACTAGCGTGACTACGAGTGGTTCTAACTTACTAGGAGGATCAGTCCTCTCAGGGTTTGACTTGGTTTCCTGAATGTGGTTAAATGAGATGTGCCGACGGAATGTTGGCAAGGCAGTGTGGCTGACCCTTCACTCTCTAGAACTGATAGTTTGTTTTGCTGTTTTAATCAGTGCTGCTTGTCCCATTGTTGCCCGTTCAGGCCTGAGGCAGCTTCATGATTGCTCAGTCCAGAACATGCAGGGTTTCTTGCAGAAGCCGCCCTCCGACAGCCCTGGGCTCCCTGAGCTAAATGCCCGGCCCTGCATTCTAGCTCCTGCGTGTCATTGGAGTGTTCTTTGGCAAGGGGTCACCGTGTACCCCAAGTGGCCCAAACACTGTGCTTACTTCCATAGATGAGGGGAGCCAGCTTTGTTCTGACTGTGTCCGGCCCTGGGTTGTTTGATGTTAAACTGGTGTCATCAACTCCATGCACAGGCATCTATGTATATCAGTGTGACCTGTGTGTTTACAAGTCCTTGCAAGCACAGCTTTTGTACTCAGAGCAAACGGGACTTTGAGCAGACTGGTGAGTCCCCGACGGTCTCCTCCAGTGACCCTCTCATATGCTCTCTCTTAAGTGCAGAATTGGAGCCATATATCAGGCCCAGCAGCCCATAGCCTCTGCACCAGGCATCTATGTATATCAGTGTGACCTGTGTGTTTACAAGTCCTTGCAAGCACAGCTTTTGTACTCAGAGCAAACGGGACTTTGAGCAGACTGGTGAGTCCCCGACGGTCTCCTCCAGTGACTCTCTCATATGCTCTCCCTCAAGTGCAGAATTGGAGCCATATATCAGGCCCGGCAGCCCATAACCTCTGCACTGGGGACCATTAGTAACTGGTGATGGAGACACCAGGCCTATCTGCCTGGTAGAAATTCACAGTCAACAAGATTCCGATTCTAAATGCACAGGTTAAAAAGTCAGACTTTACACCCTGGCCAGTGTTCCCAGTGGTTAGAGAACAGCTCGAGCACCGAAGGGTCATGGGTTTGATTCCCCGTCAGGGGCACATACCTGGGTTGCGGGTTTGCTCCCTGCCCCCGGTTAGGGCACCTGTGGGAGGCAGCTGGTTGATATGTGTCTGTTGCATCAATGTTTCTCTCTCACACTCTCTCTCTCTCCCTCCCTCCCTCCTTTCCTTCCACTCTCGCTGAAGAATAATGGGAAAAAATATCCTCAGGTGAGGATTAACAACAACAAAAAGTCAGAATTACAAAAGCTTTGCTATACGGGCAGTCCTTGCTTGGCACGATTCCAATATGCATGCATTTCAGTCACCATTGTTCGGTGAAATAACTCCGTTCCTTAACAATATGGTTCAAATGTGAGTTACCATCGTATGTTAACTGTGAGACCTGCATAAAACACACACTTCACTGCCGGGTCCTCAGTGCACAAATCCACATAACTAACAGGCTCATCGTGACCACAGCCGGTGTGCTACTTCTCAGACTCTGTTCGTGGCTAGTCACTGTACTTGCATGATTCAGTTCACTCACATCCAAGACATATCACCGTGCTGCCCCCTTCCATAAGTGACAAACCCACGTGACATCTGCACAAAAATGGAGACGTGGAAGAGAGTTGGCGAACAAAGATGAAAGTGTAGTAAAGAAAGGAAAAATGAGCTGCAGTGAAATTTGAGTTGAACGTGTGTGGAATTATGGAAGAAAGAGCTCATAGATTCTTAGATCCACAGCCAGGGACTCAGAAAAGGTGAGCTTGCCCACATGAATGAAGTGATTGTACCCAAAAGGAGGGAGATGTTCCAGACGGAGGTACCCCGGCAAAGATCTTCACACGAAGGAACTCTGTGAGGTACTATAGCCTTGAAAGCACAAAGGATAAGTTGTCGGAAGCAGATCCAAACTTACAATGGAGCGCGACAACGCGCAGGCACAGAAAGTAGATTCTGTCCTCGTCACAAGTTACACACCCGAAGGAGGCCCGCCCTGTTCACACCACTCTTGATACGTGTTTACAAGGAAACAGTCGTGCCTAATTCTCAGTGTTTCCAGTGTGTGAGTTACAGTAGACCAGGTGAATGTTAATTTGCCCATTTTCACTTCCGTATACCTTTGTTGCTGACATGGTTACCATTGATGCCTGAGACCTCTACGCAGTCTCAGCGAGGACTGCCTATGTTTGTGGGTCACGGAATCTCGATTACCTGCTCTTCCCCATTATAAGCCAGTGTTTCCTGTGTGTTTCGGATCCCAGGAGATGTTCTGAATTGCTTCCGTTGGCTTTTTCTCAGGTTGGGTAGATCTGGCCCCCTCGTCAGCTCCAACACCTGGCAGTACAGACCCCGTGCTCATCGTCCTCGGCTGCTTCTGCGGATTTATTCTGATTGGGCTGGTTTTGTATGTTTCTCTGGCCATCAGAAAAAGAGTCCAGGAGACGAGGTTCGGGTAAGTGTCCCAGGTAAAACATGTTTTGTTTGGCTCTGGCCTGTGTTCCTCAGTAGTTAGAGCATCGGCCCATGCCCCAAAGGGTAGTGGGTTCGATTCTCAATCAAGGGCATGTTCGATCCCCAGCCCTGGTTGGAGTGCATTTGGGAGGCAACCAATCGATGTGTCGCTCTCACATCGATGCTTCTCTCTCACTCTCTCCCTCCTTCCCTTTCACTCTCTCTAAAATATCAATGGAAGAAATATCCTCGGGTGAGGATTAACAGCAATAAAAAATGTTCTCTTCAGTGGTGTCGATGAGATAGATCGTTATGCTGTGACAATGCCTGTCCTACCGGCCGGCTCTTCGGTGTTCTGAGAGCCCTGTCTGTGCTCACTCTGGGCGGGCAGCGCCCTCACTGAGGCCAGTGTCACAGAGGCAGCCCGCAGGGAAAGCCAGCCGGAGGGGTCTGCACAGAGAAGACCATCAACAGGCCTTCGCTGCTCAAACTCCCTTGCTGTTAAATGAGCACTTTGATTAGAAGCCTTTAAACTGACCCTAATTATGCACAAAAATAAAACAGAATATGTATGTACCAATGATGAGAAGGAAATTCACCAAAGCATTAGCAATTCTGTAATTGTGGGTGATCCCGTGGTTTTTTTTCTTTCCTGTGTTTTACACATTTTCTGTAGTGATCAATTATTTCTAATAGAGGAAACCTTTATATTTTCACATTCAAATTATATAAGAAGCTCTTTTTCTTACTTTCTATAATCTGACTTTCATAACCAAACAGTTGAATGTCAAGAAAACTGAGAAGCCACATGAAGGCAGCCGGGAACGCAAGGCCGTGTTGCCAGCGTTGTCTCTGGGGCTCAGCTCCTCCAGCGCCTGTGCAGGGCGCTTGGCTTTCCCTGAAATCCAGTTTGTCACTCGGGGCAGAGGGAAGCTTGGAGTGGGACAGGATGAGGAAGGGCGGGAACTGTGCTGCCTGTCTCACAGCCCCACCCCTCAGCACCGTGCACTCCCTCAGAAACGCCCCGTGGACGTGGAGGGGGAGCTCAGCTGTGGAGGCTAGCCTGCCCATTCTGTGTCCATCTCAGTCCTGGTGGTCAAGTACCCACAGTACTTAGCAACTCTGTTACTTAAGTGTGTAAATTCTAAGCACGATTGTGTTAAAGACACGGACAAAATCTCACCTAAATCCTTGGCATTGGGTTGATTAAAACACACCCCAGGGTCTAGGTATAATTTGGGGGCTCATTGCAGAGACCTTGTGCAGAAGGTGCAGGAGTAGCTCATTGAAGGCCTACTAGGTGCTGGCACTGTGATAGCCTGGGTTACAGTGGTGAACAAAGCAGGCGCTGCCCCTGCCTTCATGGGACCCACAGTCTGGGGAATCCGGCAGTAATCACACAAGTTAATAAAAAATGGAACTGTAGCAAGTTCTCTGTCACAGAACCTTCATGAGTAGAGTATAGCACAGCAGATTGGACTGTGCTAAGGCCAGAAAGGCCTCCCACCAGAGCTGATGATCCCTGAGTTAGAAACTGAAGAAAGAGCAGGTGTTGATTAGATGAGAGAAGGGAAGAGCATTTCAGCCAGAAAGAGCAGCACATGTAAAGGCCCACAGAGGGGCAGCACCAGACTACAGGTGTGACGCCCGGGGTCTGGCATTCATCCCGTCACTTGAACAAGTCTTACTTTATCCAGGTTCTCTTGGCATTGTCTCTCTCTAAATGGTCTCTGAAGTTATTACCAGTTCCATTGCCGTGATTCTGAATTGAGGCTTTCAGACTCAGTCATGAACGGAGAGGCGCTGAGTCTAAGATGCTGGTGCCCTCAAGCACTAGCGGCACCGTGCAGTATGTGTCATCAAGTGGGCATTCGTCGCTGTCGCTGAGGAAACAATAATTGATATAGAAGGATGCATTAGCCCGGCCGGCATGGCTCAGTGGTTGAGCATCGAACTATGAACCGGGAGGTTGTGGTTTGATTCCCAGCCAGGGCACATGCCCAGGTTGCAGGCTCGATCCCCAGTGTGGGGCATGCAGGAGCAGCCGATCAATCTCTCTCATCATTGATGTTTCTATCTCTCCCTCTCTGTTCCTCTGTGAAATCAATAAAAAAATCTTTTTTTAAAAAGAAGGATGCATAGACATATTTTCTTAGACCACCTCAAACGTGGGCTCAGTAAGGACAGAACCCCTGAGATGATGGCCAAAGCTCCTGGCGGTGCTGAGCTCCAGGGGCCTGGTGGGGGCCCCCAGGCGTGCAGCGGAGGGAAGCTGGAGGGGTGGGCACAGAAGCAGAGGGTGCTGCTTTGCCTTCTGAGGCTGAGCCACGCATTTAGGAACAGCACATAGCAGTGTTGCCCTTCCCAGTCTTCGGAAATTCTCCCTAGGCACCCTCTTTTCTTGCTTTCTTTAGGAGGACATGACATGTTGTACTAGTAAAAATATTTTGATCCTGGTTTTAAAATACACGAAGGACAAAGTGCTGGAATGAGACCCCACTCAAAGCAGCATGAAAAATATCACCGTCTTAGGAATAAGCCCAACAGATGTGCATGAACTTTGTGGGAAAAGTTAGTAGACTTGACCAATAATGTGGAAGAAAAATAAGTGGGGAAGTGTGTACCATACTCATGGATGAGAGGGCTGTTTTGTTGGAGAGATGGTGTTTTCCTCAAGTTAACCATACATTCTACATAATCATCATGTCAGTTCCTGCAGGGTTGTTGATGAATGGCAAGCTGATTTTAACAAGCATGTCGAGGAGTAAAAGGAGCAGGGACAGCCGGGGCAGTCGGGTCAGCCCCTGCAGTTGCTATAGCCCAGGGATGGGGAACCTTTATTCTGCCAAGGGCCATTTGGGTATTTATATCATCATTCACGGGCCATACAAAATTATCAACTTAAAAATTAGCCCGCTATGTTTGGTCAAACATTTAATTAACTCACCCCTAATGCCTTGACAGGGCCAGACCAAATGATTTCATGGGTCTTACATGGCCGGGCGTTCCCCACCCCTGCAGAGCCTGAGCTGTCTGTTTCGTTCACCAGGAACGCCTTCACGGGCGAGGACGTGGAACTGGTGGTCAATTACACAGCAAAGAAGTCCTTCAGTCGGCGAGCCATCGAACTCACCCGTAAGTTGACTTCCATTTCTCTTTTCCGGCAAAAGTTAAAATAGTTAAGAGCAAAGAAAGAACAACAGAATCCTTGACAGATTTCTCACAAAAGCCAAAGGCATCAAAGAATCGATAGCGTCACCCTGCAAGATGTGTTCAGCAAGCGGCAAGTAGGTAGTCAGACATGACCCTGTGCCTCCTTGCCGGCCAGCTTCCTGGAAATCTGGGGTGAAGTAGATGGGGTGACAGCCTCCAGATGCCTTGAAAAGTGGCAGGAGATGTGGGTAGAGGTCAGGGATTTAAAGGAAACAGCAAAACAACTGACCATCTCAGAGCTTGTCATTTCCTGGCCCCCAACTCAGAACGATTCGCTGACACCCTTGGTATCAATTATGGTTTGGGCTTTGCTGACTCAGAGTGGGCGTTCTTCTCATTGACCAGTGGGAATAAACACATAGTTCTGTGTTCTCGAATAATTCCAGAAATGTGTAGAAAGTGTTATAGGCATCTCTCACTGACACCAGAGAGGTGTTACCAGACAAGACAGGACAGCCCCGGGAGCCAGTGGGAGAGGGCTGTCCTCAACCTTGATCCTTGTCTTCTCGTATAAATGAATTGGCATTGTGAAAAGCCAATTTAGAAGGGGGGGGGGGGGGGGGGGGGGGGAGAAAAGCCAATTTATTAAAGCATGCATCTTTATTGAATAAAGCAGAAACAAAGCAAGCAAACCTATACATCTGGCTTATGAAGCACAGACAGGCTCTCGGCTCATCTGAAGAGCAGGTTGGGTGGGGGTCTGAGGGGTTATATACCTCCCTGTCTATGGGTCTCTGAACTCCTCTGCTGACTATTTTGGTGCAGATTAATTCTCCAGGTCCCCTTTTTCACTTTGTTTACTTTGTTGTGGCCTTCCCAGAATTCATGAGAAGAATCTGGCAACTGTATCTTACCAAGCCTTGAGACTGCTGGCTTCTCTGCTTAGGGAGTAAAACAGCCCTTTTTTCCTTTCTCCTTTCTCCCTCCCTTTTTGCATTCTCTCATTAGGGAGGTTTTTAACCATTTGCTCTGTGTCCTTGGCTGGGGTGGATAATGGCTTGTTAGTTACAAGCTGGCTGCAAATTGCCCCACACTATTGGGCCTTGTTTTAACTTTACTGTCTCAGTTTGCCTATTCTTCCTGCCCTGAATCCTACAACAAAAGTATGTGCAAAGACTTTCATATTTAAGCTTCTGGGTGTTTGCTAAAACACCAAAATAACAAGCCAAATGTAAGAACGATGGTATATAGGTTGTATGAAATAAAAACTCGTGTGATATATAGAATGTTACAATTTCCTTCCTTTTCTAATCTAGAAGTTTGACTTTTAGATGTTATTATATTTTTTAAGTGTTTTTATTGATTTTTGAGAGAGAGAGAGAGAGAGAGAGAGAGAGAGGAAGGAAAGGGAGGGAGGGAGGGGGAGAGAGATAGATGAGAGAAACATCGATTGGCTGCCTCCTGCATGGGCTTGATCCTTGAGTTCACAACCCGGGCCTGTGCCCTGATGGGGAATTGAACCGTGACCTCCTGGTTCATGGGTCAACACTCAACCATTGAGCCACACCCGCTGGGCAGATGTTCTTACATTTTAAAAAATTCTTAATTTACATCAATTTTTTTTTTCTATATTGGAGGACCATTTGGGTAAAAATTTTTTACCAAGAGCTAAAATGTTCAGATTATCCACATGGTTTTTTTTCTTGTTGTTGTTTTGTTTTTAATATATTTTTATTGATTTCAGAGAGGAAGGTTGAGGGAGAAGGAGAGAGCGATAGAAACATCAGTGATGAGAGAGAATCATTGATCAGCTGCCTCCTGCACACCCCTCCACTGGGGATCGAGCCTGCTTCCTGGGCATGTGCTCTGTCCAGGAGGGAATCGAACCGTGACCTCCTGGTTCATAGGTTCAACCACTGAGCAACACCAGCAGGGCTGTTGTTATTTTCTTCCAAAGCCTTGCTCATTGCCTTTCGGGGGCACAACCGGAGTCATTTGCTAAGTAGTCGTTGAATGGGTCTCCCTCCCCTGGTTAATGGCTCTTATTGGTAACACTTCCTGTCAGTGCTGCACCTTATTACAGAAGATCTTGTTCTCCAGGCCTCCACCAGGTGCTTAGCTTAGCACTGGCATGTCCGTGTGATGAGGCTCATGTACCACAGCAGCTTGTGCTCTGTGTTTCAGCTTGTGCTCTTGGTTTCTGCGCCTCCTTCCCTGGCAGGGAGGAAGGGAAGTGCCCCAGGCTCCTTTGTGACCTGTCCTTAGGGATGTAACAATAAATACTCCACTAGGAAACACCTATTGACTTCTCTTCCTCACCCCTAGTCAGGGCTGAACCTCCCCAGCAGGAAGCTGATTGCCAGTTGCTGATACTGCACATGGGAAGGACAAATGTGGTTGTGATTTTTAGAAATTTTCAGAATTAATCTTGCCTGAAGGGTTCATTTTATCTGCTGTAATCATAGTAGAATTAAGTGTGATATTTTATTACTGGCATTTGGGGGAGAAGAGCCATGGGGTATAACATGGAGAAAGCATTTAACTATTTGATGGGGCTTTATATATAATTTTAATTATATTCCAGTGAGGGGAAGCACACTGACCACTCATATGTCCCCTGTCACTTCTTTCACAGTAAGCAGCTTGGGAGTCAGCGAGGAGCTGCAGCGTAAGCTGGAAGATGTTATGATTGACAGGAACCTTCTAATTCTTGGAAAAATTCTGGGTGAAGGTAAACAGTTTAATTCTTTTAAAATGTGGGATAAGAAAGTAAGCAGTTCACAGTAATTTTTAAAAATACAGATTTGTTACATAAAATACCATTTTGTGACTTTAAGTGATAATACAAAGATTTCTATTTTATCATTTAAAATGAAAAAGTGAATAGTGATTTTTGAAACTAAGATTGGGCATATGAATGGGGCTCTGTAGTGTCTAGCACACGCGGTAGGCCTTGAAAATATGAATTCCCTTCCTCCATTGAAAAGCATGTAATTCACTAGTTGGCTTCCTATATCATTTAAATTTATTCCTCTAGTTCTCAAGTTTATAATTCCTGGCACCTTCCTGGTTAAATAGGGACAAGGGTGCACATACATATTTAATCTGTCAACCTGATATTCTGGTGTTAGGATGAATGATGATGGTGTTCAGAGTTTCTACTTTATGAATTTCAAAAACACTTCCCATGTTCTCCTGTAATAAAGTGATGATCTGAGCTAAATCCAAGCCAGCCTTGGTGCTGACAAGCAGGAGGTTAGTACCTGGCTTCTGCCCTGGGTTTCCAGTGCGGATGGCCTGGCAGCTCTGCCTGCTGCTGTGTATGGGTCCTCGGGCCACGTGAGAACGTGCCTCTGGCTCTGTGGTGTTTCTGTGATCAGGAGAGATACTGCACAAGGTCCACACAGCTGTTGTTTTACTTCACAGGAGAGTTTGGGTCTGTCATGGAAGGAAGTCTTGGTCAGCAGGATGGAACTTCCGAGAAAGTGGCCGTGAAGACCATGAAACGTGAGTTACCTGTCACCCACGAAACCCGTTCTAGGTTTAAGCATTAAGTACATTCATATTATTGTGCAGCCGTTACCACCATCATCTCCCGAATTTTTTCGGCTTACAAAACTGAAACTTGGTTGGTTAAACAGCTCTTGATCCCCTATCAGTGGTCAGCAAACTCATTAGTCAACAGAGCCAAATATCAACAGTACAACGATTGAAATTTCTTTTGAGAGCCAAATTTTTTAAACTTAAACTATATAGGTAGGTACATTGTTATTAACTTAATTAGGGTACTCCTAAGGCTTAGGAAGAGCCACACTCAGAGGCCAAAGAGCCGCATGTGGCTCGCGAGCCACAGTTTGCCGACCACTGCCCTAGCTCTCCTCTTGTACTTCTGTCTATGAATTAGACTGCTCTGCGTACCTCATACAAGTTGACCACACAGTGTGTGTCCCTGTCACTAGCTACTGTCACTTAGCCTAGTGGAGATCTTTAAATGTCTCTCTTAAGTTGCTTTAATTCCAGAAACTTGGTATGAAAGTGTCTCTAGTTCACAAGGCAGGGCTGAGCAGCCAGACTCAAGCTCTGTGATGGAGAGAGGCACGTGTCCCTTCTTTCTTTAAGGCCAAACTGATTGCAACAGTTTGGATTTGATTTTAGTTTTTAAAACTAATATACTTTAATTATTAGAGCAGTTTTAGGGCTACAGAAAAACTGGGCAGCAAGTACAGAGCTCCCATGTGTCCTCGCCACACACAGCCCCCTATCATGAACGTCTTGCATTAGTGTGGTGCAGTTTTTACAGTTGACGAGTCCGTATTCATACGTTAATGACTGACGTCCACAGGCTACGTTAGGGTTCACCCTGTGTTGTACGTTCTGTGGGTTTGACAAGTGCATAATGTCATGTGTCCACTGTCACAGTGTCCTACAGATGTTTCTCCCTCAAATCGCCTGTGCTCCCTTTCTTTACCCCCGCCCAGCCCCTGACAACCACTCGTGTTTACTGTTGCCACAGTTTTGTCTTTTCCTGATTTTACTTGGAGAGAACAGAATTGCTGCTGCCCCTCCCCTCACGGAGCATGTTAACTGTGCCTGAGGTTTCCCATCTCTTCTTTCAGTGGACAACTTTTCCCAGCGAGAGATCGAGGAGTTCCTCAGCGAGGCCGCATGCATGAAAGACTTCAGCCACCCCAACGTCATCCGGCTCCTAGGTACCTGGAGAAAGGCAGGCCTGGTGGCCAGAGGGGCTCGGCGCATCCACTCTGTGCCAAAGGGAAACCTGGTATAACCCACGGTGATTTACAACCTAGGGTTTCTTCACCCAAAAGGCTTCTCCTTACAGTTAACATTTTAGGAGGCTTATGGTAAAAGTGGGTAAAAATGGGACGTGATTTAATGTCAGAATTTGGCTTTTAGCACCATTAGCTAAAAAACACCAAATGGGGAGATCGGGTTCCAGTGGTTGCTGTTTAAGCGACACTGTCCCAAGAGGGAGAGCAGCCTGGGAATAACAATGTTCTGACGACTTATTTTTGCTGCCCTGCCATCTAATAAATGCTAAAGTCTTTGGGGAGCTTTCAGAGTGTCTTTGACACTCAAGGGAGATGTGAAAACTAATCTTTGGATACAAGATGATGTCAAAGAAATGAGTGTTACTCATTGGCAGCTCTCGACTTCAGCAGACCGAGAACAATCGTGCTTTGTAATTGCACCACAATGTGCAAGAGCTCTGCGAGCCCGGTGTCAGGTGACAGCTCTCCTTCTAGAATTGCATGGTAAATGGGTTGCAGCTTTTCCCGAGTGTAACCGTTAAAATTTAGGGATGTGGATTCTACCTCAAAATACTTTTCGTAGTTTAAGCATTTGGCTTCAGTGCACGCCTTCGTACGATGAAGTGTTTCACTGTCACATGAAATGAGATTGCTTCTTGAATTCTGATGCAGTCCCTGCCCCTCACTTGGAATCAATTTAATGAAAACTCACCAGGCCTCTGCGAGGCTCTACTTGTGATAGACTAATTTTTGAGCGCTCTCATGCAAAGACTGGCCCTAACCTGAAAGAAAAAAAAAAATAACAAGATGTGGGCCCACAGGGTGGGTGCGTTCAGTATTCTTGAACTCGGCGTGTGAGTTACGAGCGTTTGTTTTTTTAACTGTTCACTTGGGCGCACGTGGTTTCAATTTGGCCCAGGCTCCTGCCCTGCGTGCTTTTTCCGGTCACTGCTAACAGGGGCTCTTTGTAAGGAACTCTGCTCTTAATTGCAGGTGTGTGTATAGAAATGGGCTCTCAAGGCACCCCGAAGCCCATGGTGATTTTACCCTTCATGAAATACGGGGACCTACATACCTACTTACTCTATTCCCGACTGGAGGCAGCATCAAAGGTAATGAATTCCCCGCTGCGTTGCCTCTGGACACTTGACAAGGCCTGGGCAAACTCAGCATCTGACCTTGAATATGAAGGTGGGAGCGCAAGGACTTGAGCCTTTGTTTGGTGCTCCCTGTGCACCCTGGGTATCCGCCTTCACAGCAGGTCTCCTTCTGGTCCTGTTATTCCTGTTTATGGGGGGAGGAAGTCAGCTGGGAGCACACTCTTATGCCCCTCACACTGGAGCCAGGGGCCCCTTGTGATGTCAGAGTGGCCTCTTTCTTTTGAAGTTGCCTCTCTAGCTTGTTCACTCTGAAATCCCTGGGTGCGGGACCTGTCTCGGTTTTCAGAGGGAAGGTTCCCTGAATTGTTTTTCAGAGACACTGAGGGTGAACTTAGTCCACCCGTCTTTCTTTCTTGTTTTGTTTTGTTAACCCTCACCCGAGGATATTTCTTTCTTTCTTTTTAATATATTTTATTGATTTTTTTTTACAGAGAGGAAGGGAGAGGGATAGAGAGTTAGAAACATCGATGAGAGAGAAACATCCATCAGCTGCCTCCTGCACACCCCTTACTGGGGATGTGCCCGCAACCAAGGTACATGCCCTTGACCGGAATCAAACCTGGGACCCTTCAGTCCGCAGGCCGACGCTCTATCCACTGAGCCAAACTGGTCAGGGCCCGAGGATATTTCTTCCATTGATTTTTAGAGAGAGTAGAACAGGGAGAGGGGGCAGAGGGATGGAAAGGAAGAGAGAAAGAGAAACACCTATGAGAGAGATACATTGATTGGTTGCCTCCTACACATGCCCCAACCAGGGCCGGGGATTGAACCCGCAACCCAGGTATGTGTCCTTGACCAGGAATCGAACCCATGACCCTTCCGTGTGGGGGCTGACTCTCTAACCACTGAGCCCCACCAGCCAGGGCTCATCTTTCTTTTTATCCTTGGAAATGGAAATCATGTTGGTTGCTGTAGCTTTATTGTAAGCCTTAAAAACGGGTACTATGATTCCTCCAGATTTATTCTACTTTCCAGAATTGTTTTTAGCTTTTCTAGTTCTGTTGCCCTTCCATATAATTAGAGAATCAGCTTGTGTATAACAAGAGAAACCAGTACACAGCATTTTACTGACTAATGAATAGTTTCTATTTGCAAAAATACAAGTGTATCTCCAGTGTTGGAAGGTAACTCCCGTGTATACATTTGCAGCCATAGGTAACGCTGGAAGTCACAAAATGCGTAGAGAAACTGGAACCTCAAGCTTTTATTCCGGTCTTTGCTGCCTGTTCAGTCAGTTGGGGGAATAAACACTCTCTGTTCTGCTAGTGTGGCAGGACTGGGGCTCGGTTACGTAGCGTGCTCCTCCAGCAGGGCCTCGGTGCCTCCTGTCCTCCCCTCCCCTCCATGAATGCAGGCTATCATTTCCTTTATTTAGATCTTTAGAGTCTTTCATTTTGTACTTGTCAGAGTGTAAGTTTTGTACTTCTTTTGTTAAAGTTATTCCTAAGTATTTTATTTTTTATTCTTTTGTAGATAAAATTGTTTTGATTTCGTTTTCAGAAAGAGTGTTCATTTCTAGTGTATGGAACTACATTGATTTTTGTATATCGATCTAGTGTCCTGTAACTTTGTTGAACTCATTTATTAGTCCTACAACACAATTTCTTTTTCTAAAATAATTTTTATTAATTTTTTTTCTTTAGAGCGAGAGGAAGGGAGAGAGAGAAACATCCATTAGTTGCTTTCAGCACGCACCCTGACTGGGTATTGAATCCGAAACCTGGGCATGTGCCCTGACTGAGAATAGAACCGATACCCGCTCAGGGCACAGGACAATGCTCAACAAACTGAGCCGCACCAGCCACGCCCACACAATTATCTTTTAAATAACTTTGGTCACAGTTTGCAAGAATGAAATCATTGTTTGAGGAAAAAATAACACAGATGAATAGTACCTGATACTCGTCTGCATGAATGTTAGCAGACTTGATATTTCTTAATACCCAAATCCTTTGCTGGAAATTAGCATCCAGAAAATTAAAGCCCCAGCTATACAGAACACAGGCATAGGACTTCCCTCCCTGATCTGTTTATGTTCTCTTTAACAAGTCCATTATGTAAAGGTAAAACATAATTAAAGCATTTTATTGTACTTACAATGTGTGACCGACATGGGTCTTGACACGGAGATATAAAGCATTAAAAATTCAGGGCTTTGTTCTCACCACGTTGGAAAACTCGTGCCCTATGGAATGAGTCGTGACAAATGCAGTGTGCTGGGAAAGTGTGTTGTGGGTGGACCTGCTTGTGGTGGCCAGGAAGTCGTCAGTCCTTCGCACAGTGTCTGCAGAGAGCGCTACTTCTGTCGTCATCCTCAGAATCAGCTCCAACCCAGATGGTCTCTTAACACAGCAGCTAGCGTGCGTTCACGCCGTGAAGAAAACGCTAGGCTGCTGACATTACAGGGGGTCCCAAGAAACAAAAATGGAAATTCCTGTGATAAGGGACCAAGACCATCCTAATTTCTCTCTAAAAGAAAACTATCTTTTCAAAACATTTCAAAGGGATAGCAGATGTGGGTGCACAACTGGACAGCTACTTTAAAGTGGGCTTTTTGCCTCAAAACATTAGAAAACCCCACCCTCAAAAGCCTCTGTGTGGCATGGGTGCTTGGTCCCACTGGCACTCAGGACACGGAAGATCCCACTGGATCCCATGACTTGGGAGACGAATGTTATTCACTGTCAATATTTTAAACATGGGGAGAAGAAAACGTGATATTTGCCAAACAGTTTTAGAATTTGTTTGTTTTTGGGTGTTTTTGTTTTGTTTTGTTTTTTAAATATATTTTATTGATTTTTCACAGAGAGGAAGGGAGAGGGATAGAGAGTTAGAAACATCGATGAGAGAGGAACATTGATCAGCTGCCTCCTGCACACCTCCTACTGGGGATGTGCCCGCAACCAAGGTACATGCCCTTGGCCGGAATCGAACCTGGGACCTTTCAGTCTGCAGGCCGATGCTCTATCCACTGAGCCAAACCGGTTAGGGCTAGAGTTTGTTTTTTCATTCCTCTTTTAAAACCTTTTTTGTGCTATTAGTGATAAAGAAATGAAGTTTGTTTCCATGTCTCATGGCCACACATGTAAGAGAAAAAATGCTGTTTTCCCCCAGATGGAGATAACTTGCAGATTTTTTTGTAAAAAAAAAATAATAATAATCTTTCTTCTTGCTTTGTCCCGCAGCACATTCCCGTGCAGACACTGGTGAAGTTCATGGTGGACATTGCCCAGGGGATGGAGTATCTGAGCAACAGGAATTTCCTCCATCGAGACTTAGCTGCTCGAAACTGCATGTAAGGGTCTGGGTGCGTCCTGGGCGGTTGGACCTCATGGTGTTGGTGTTTGTGGTGGGACACCGTGGGTGGCCTGTCGCTGTCACAGGAGGAGGAGAGAGAGTTCTGGAGATGGGATTCCTGCGTCTCTGAGGCATGGCTGGGTTTGTGCCTGCGGGTTTTCAGTCCCTCCCAAACTTCCTCCTGTGACTCTGTTTTCATTTTCACACTCTCACGCCCTAGGAGGGCGAGGTAAGACCTTTGTGATCCCTGTTCATTGCCATCCGCTGGCTTTGGGCCCAGTTACATATAAGTCAGCTAATCATGCAGACAGTAATGAAAACCATGAAGGTCTGTCCCTACGTTCTTGCGATGCTGCCCTGTGAAGACACCCTGTTCCGTGGACACACCGACCAGAGCAGCAAGGACAGACTAGAACTTTGAGCTCAACTTCTCCCCACGTCTTCCTGCTGCGGTAGCGGAGCCATTTTCTGCGGGAGATCTTCAAGACAGGAGCTGCGTCTTGACTTAAGTTCACTGTTGCAGGAAGAGGGAAGGTTCCTTTAAATGTGTTGCTTTTATTACTTTTCTTGGCTGGAGAAGTGACAGTGGTGCCTGCCCTCACTCCTCCTAGCCAGAGCCCCCCTTCCCAGCTCCCTCCCACTTTCACCTCATTTTTGAAAGCCCAGAAGGATCTTGCTTTTGTTTTTTAATTTAAAGAATTTTCCTACCACAGAGGGAGACCTATGAAAATCATTTTTTTCCCCATCAATGTTTCCTTAACGTTTTTCCTATCAAGAAGGGTGACCAGCTGTCAGTTTGCCCGGAACTGAGGGCTTTACCAGGACAAGGGGTGTCCAGTTTTAAAAGTCGGTGTCGGGCAAACAGGGACGGGTCGTCATGCTTCCTCCAGACCTCTCATTTCTTCTCTCCCTTCTCCTTCTTGTCTAGGATCTGTTTTAATGGGATGGGCTGTCAGTGTGATTTTATGACTTTAATTTTCTGAGTTACTCCTCCAGTACTACCTGGCCATCTCTGCGGGGAGTCCTGGATCCCCCTCTTGCAGGCTGTACTTGCCCACCTCCCCCAGGCTTCCAGGAGGCTCCCTTGGACCACAGAGCCAGGGCTGCATCCAGACGTCAGGCGTAAAGGCTGCTGGGATGCTCGTTGAGTGACCAGAGGCCCTGGGTTTGAGCTGGGCTCCTTCTACGCCTGTGCAGCTCCGCTGTTCCCTCCTGGTGTCTCCATCCTTATGCACAGATGGCCTTGCCGGGTCCGATTCCCACACAGCCAAGCAGGGTGCAGGGTGCTCTCTCTCTGCTGCTCCCCCTCACTTGCTGGGCCATTGTTCCCCAAGCAGATGGGGCCTGTGTCTTTGGGCTACTTCCTGTGCGTGTGACGCAGACCTGTGCTTCAAGGCTTTGCCTGTGATGGACCTAAGGACTCAAACTCCTCTCTGTAGGTTGCGAGATGACATGACTGTGTGTGTGGCGGACTTCGGCCTCTCTAAGAAGATTTACAGCGGCGATTACTACCGCCAAGGCCGCATCGCGAAGATGCCTGTGAAGTGGATTGCCATCGAGAGCCTTGCGGACCGAGTCTACACCAGTAAAAGTGACGTGGTAGGTACAGTTTTCCTGGGGACCTTGAGTTTCAGAGATGAACCGTGCTGAATAAAGTGACTTAGCTGCCAAACATTTCACTATGATGAACTGAGGGCTGGGAGTGTGCTCACATCTCTCTTATTTATTGCTAGGCACCCTGATTCAGGTGGAACTCTAGATTCTGGTGAAGTCTCCTGACATTCAAAAGATCTGTCTTTTCGCAGGCCCTTAATTTATTCCCGTTTTCCTCTGCTACACTATTGTGACATATTGCCCACAACTAAGCTATTTCATATTCATATTAAATTCAGCAAGTTCATTCAGTGGCTCTGTGGGACTAGCATGATGTACAAAAGGTGCTGTGTGGTTACGCCCTCAACCAGAGACGAGGAGCGAAAACACTTGACAACATTGTGAACGAGCATGGATTCGGCGGGAGGCTCTGGCTGCCCTTGTCAGATTTCCCGTAAGAGCGTTAGTAGCAAATGGGCACAGTGACGTACCAACCACGTTACTGCGTGTTGGGAGAGCAGCGTGTCCCAGTCATAATTGTCAGCTTTGTGCACGGTCATCGGGGCTTTAAGGAAATGACCTTTCCCAATGAAAAAGTCCATTCAGACTTTCTGAAAAGACTCAGATCTTACTGCTTGTTGATTTGTTCTCAGTGGGCATTTGGCGTGACCATGTGGGAAATTGCAACTCGGGGAATGACGCCCTACCCCGGAGTCCAGAACCATGAGATGTACGACTATCTCCTCCACGGCCACAGGCTGAAGCAGCCAGAGGACTGCCTGGACGAACTGTGAGTGAGCCGCTCGATGGGACCAGGCACCCTGCGGGGGCCGGCCAGTGGGTCTGCAAAGACCTAGGGACACAGCCATGGGGGCGAGGGTAGGAGGGGGTGCTTTTAGCCAGGCCGGGTGTGCAGAGGCGGCACGTCCAGGCCCAAGCCTTTCCTGGTGTGAGAGGTGGTGTGTGCACACGTTCTGCAGGTCTGCAGGCGCCGCTGGGAGATGCATTCTAGATAAATGGGTCAACTTTACAGCATATGAGGTACCTGGTCACCTGCCCTCTTGTGCTGCCGTCATCCTTCTCTTCCTGTACAGTATTTCAGACAGACAAATCGCAGTAATATCCTAATCAGGAAATTTAGAAACCGAAGCCCAGGGCTCTGAGGTCAGGCCGATCATCAGAATTGCATGGGGGATAGTCTAACAGCACGATTCCTTGGCCCTATGCCTGGGCACTGAGGTTGTTGGAACAAAGTGGGCCAGAAGTGCATGTCTTAAAACTCTGGGCGATCAGGTGCTCTGCCCGGCGTGAGAGCCCCAGCTCAGCGTGCACAGCCCGTGCGGGACAGGCCCCTCCTCTCTAGGGTGGGTGGTATGGGGAGAGGCCGGGCCTCTGAGTCACTGAGGCCAGCTGCGGCCTCCACCTACCCACGGGGGAGGCCTTCACAGCTGACTTGACTTGTGTGCCTCATTATCAGCCGCAGATAAAGTCCAGTCGCATATTCTTCAGAGCTATTGGGAGAGTTGAGGAAAGTGTGTGGAGCACTCAGCCTGCAGGAGGCACAGAGCAAGTGTCACATCGTGGTGCCAATTCGTAACATGACATCATACACACCAACCTGCCCAGACACCCTGCTGACCTTCTTAAACTGACTTCTTGTGGCATTGCCTCTACCTCCCTAGTGTCGAGTCTCTTCCCCACATAACAGGGGTTACAGACATTGTCTCCATATTCAGCAAGATTTCAGGACCTTAGGCCTGCACAGGCTTAGGCTTGGAAGGGGTGGGTGGGACCCCCCCACTATGTCACACACCCACTGTGGCCTTGCTTCCTCACTTAGGGGAGGGCTAGGTTAGGGGGCTTGCAGGCTCCCTTATCTTGTCCAAGCCAAACAGGGAAAACTAGTTTGTTTGTTTTTTAACAGAAGAAAATCAAATTTCAATACATGTGCATGGAGAATTTACATAAACAGGAAAATTCCCAGAAGGAAACTTTATTGATAAGAGCCACAGGCTGTTTGGTCGTGGTGGCTGTTGTGGTTATAAATTATAATATTAAGAACAGAAACAAAAAATGTTAAGCCCTTTAAAAACATTGTGAAATTCTAATTAAATTAGATCTGGGGTTTCATGGTGGTTTTTGAAAGAGCCACGTGAATGAGATGTTTGCTTCTAAAAAGGAGGAACCGTTTTAGCCCAACAATGTTGAATGAGGAGTTTTGTGGCTCTTTCTCTCTTGGCTTCCGTCTTGCGCCACAAGCAGTTGGTCTTTGCAGTGATTACCCAGGGTCTCAGCAAGGTCCGAGCTGTGTCACACTGTGGTTTTCCAGTACTTTACGCAGAGCCAGACGGGGAATGCTGACTCGCTTTTCTGAGCATTTTTAGGTGAGAGTCGCAGAGTCAGCACGTGCCATGTGGCCAGGAGGTCAGGCGGGTCAGGCAGGTCAGGCAGCCCTGTGGTCCCCACCCCAGCTGGCTCTGCACCTGAGGCTTGACCCAGGCCTTCTTCTTGGGCCCCTGTCCCATCTGGATGCTGGTCAACAAAGAGGCCTCTGTTTCATATCAGGGACGTTTTCTTTTAAAAATGAGACACACTTCTGAGCTTCTCATCTCATTTGCTGCCTAACCTTAGCCGAGGTGAGTTCATGCCTACGATACTTGCCCCTCGGTCTTTTCCAAGTCAGTCCTAAGACATGTAACGAAGCGCACTGTATGTCCTGCCCTCTGAGGCTGCCTCTTCTCACGGTGTCACCCACTCCGAGTGACCAGGCGGCAGGCCTGTTCCCGTGGCCCAAGAGGCCTCTCTGCATGATGTCCCCGTCGTCTCTGTAGGACATTTCCTCAGCTGAGCTACGGCCTCCTGGCTGTGGCGCTCGGGCACTCCCACCGCTGGCCGCTGTGGTTCCTGCACCAGCCCTCATCCCCCTCATCCTCCTCTGATACTCGGGAGCCACCTTGTTCTTTCTTTAGTCCACTGGGTCCCATCAGCTTTATCCCACTGATGTCCTTCAGAGTTCCCCTGCCCTTCAACCCACCCTAATACCATCAAACCAGAGAAGCGCAGGCTGGCGGGGCCTGGCATGAGGAAACGGTGGCACAGTGGCATCACGGTGTGAATAAGGACCGCAGCTCACACCACCTTCCCCCTCTCAGAAACCCTCGTCTACTTACGGATCAGTCCCTCCACTTCCACCTGCAGCAGCTCAGGCCCCGGGCAGGAGAGCAGCGGGGGCTTCCAGTCGGCCATGTGTCAGCACTCAGACCCTCCTCACACTGCAGGGCACATGTCATGTCTCTGAGCAGATGGGGGGTGCTCAGCCATCCTCAGAGCCAGGGAGAAGCAGGTGCCTGACAAATATGGATAAATTCAGAAATCTATAAATTTTTTAAATGTGTATGATTGCAACCTTTTAACTCCTTTGTGAAAAATTGTGGTAAATGCACAGAACATAACATTTACCATCTTAACTATTTTTAAATGTGCAGTTCAGTCGTGTAAGTGCATCCGTGTTGTACAGCCGTCACCCCCTCATCTCCAGAACTCTTCATCTCACAAAACTGAAACTCTGTCCCCCGTGAAACAGTAATCACCATCCGCCACTCCCCCAGCCCCCACGACCTGTGTGACTACATCTTTTATGAAATCTCAGTAGAAAAACAAAAATGATCTTTTACAAAGGCAACTACCAAAGTTGTTTTTTTCTTTTTCTTCTTCTTCTTCTTTTTAAAATCCCCACCTGAGGATATTTTCCCATTGCTGTTGGAGAAAGTGGAAGAGAGAGGGAAAGGCAGAAAGAAATGTTGCTGTGAGAGACACATCGTTTGGTTGCCTCATGCACATGCCCGGACCAGGGCCCAGGCTGGGGAGGAGCCTGCAACCAAGGTATGTGCCTTTGACCAGAATCGAACCCGGACCCTTCGTTCGGCAGGCTGACACTCTATCCATGAGCCAGACTGGTTAGGGCTTATTTTTTCTTTCCATTCCTGAGATTGAACTTGCTGACCTTGGTCCACCACTGCAGACTTGCCCTTTGTCGGAGGGGCCTAGACAGTACCCACACTACCATATATTTGCTAGTCATATTTCTATTGTTACATATTGTGATTTTGCTACCATTTGAATATGAAGGACATAGAGTATATCAGCGATTTTCAACCTTTTGCATCTCACAGCACACATGAACTAATTATTAAAATTCTACAGCACACCAAAAAATGTATTATTTGCCAATCTGACAAAAAATATAGGTATCATTTTTATTCATTCACACTGGATGGCTATTGTTGGGTTGGCTGTTGTCAGTTTTTTATTTGACAGTCTAGGTCCTAGACTCTAGGAGAAAAGAAGTCAGTGCCCCTGGCTAAGTAGTCAGGTATGGCATGTGTTAAAAAATTCTTGCGGCACACCGGTTAAAATCGCTGGGTTATGTAAACGCTTTCTCCGAAGACGTGGGATAAATGAAGGTAAATAATGGGGCCTTCATGGCCTAATGAAAAGGGGAGTGTCTTCTAAGGGCAGAATTCCTCAAAGCTCATCTCAGACTGCAAACAGGCAGGGCTCTGTGGAAAACATGAAGCCATGCAAATTGATTTATACCATAAGAACCTCAAAAATGGAAACAAAAGCTGTTTGCCAGGTCCCATGGCCATCTCGTGAAGGTAGAACAAGGAGAGTCAGAGGGCTGAGCTGATGTCCAGGTGGGAATAGGGCTCATCAGGGAGACGGGAGCTCAGGGTCCTGTGCTCACAGGCAAAGCGAGCGCCTGCAGACCCGCCGGCCAGGAGCTCAGGCCTTGCTGATAGGGGCTGGAAAGTAAACAAAGGCAGGTATTGATTGTTATACATGTAGGTGGGTGAGATCTCTCAGTACGTGTGTGAATGCTGGTAGAATTACCCAGAGTTCTACACGATGGAATTACATGGGAATGTGGGAATTGCATATTTATGTTCACAAGATAGCAGTAATCTGCCCAGCTGGTGTGGCTCAGTTGGATGAATGTCGACCTATGAACCAGGAGGTCACTGTTTGATTCCCGGTCAGGGCACATACCCAGGTTGTGGACTCGAACCCGAGTGTGGCAGCCGATCAGTGATTCTCCCATCATTGATATTTCTATTGCTCTCTCTCTCCCTTCATCTCTGAAATCAATAAAAAAATATATTTTTTAAAAAGATAGCAGTAATCTACTACATGTGTCAGATGATTAGCATTGGGATCATTTCCTTATCCAGCAACATGAATGTCAATTTCTCAAGAAAGGAAAGAGTCCAAATGGTAGTATAACTCACTCTTCCTGATGCAGTCATCTCTGTTTTACTGTGCTCACATCAATGTCCCCCCATTGTAATTCTTAATTACACAGAGAATGAGGACACCACCCTGAAGAGAATCCTCCCTACAGGACACAGCAGAGGTCATGAGGAGCCCCAGTCATAGGACTTGTCCAGCCAGAGGCCGGTCCCCTGCTGCCCACATAGCAAAGTAACAAGGACAGGGCTATTGACGAGAGTAGGTGCAGTAACACACACAAAACGCCCAGCACAGTGAGGCACACACTCCTTTACACACACCCCCGCCACCCCACCCTCCCCCCCAGCCCTTCTAACAGCTCTCCTGGTGACAAACCCAGCTTCATGTGCAGAACAGGAGTCGGCACACTTTTTCTGTAAAGGGCAAAATACTAAGTATTTTTTATTTTGAGGCCATGTGGTCTCTGTTGAAACTACTTAACTCTGCCATTGCAGTAGAAGCAGCCACACATAAATAAAAGTAGCTGTGTTCCAATAAAACTTTATTTACTGTGGAGAGCGGCTACAGCGTTTAGACAGGATCAAGCCTCGGACTGACTTGTGGCAAAGCCACGTACAAGTCCCAGCTTGGAGGGCAAAGCCCTCCCAGCACAATTATAGCCGAAGGCTGTGGTTAGAAGCTTGACCTATAGTCCCAGACGCTGCAGTCCTAGGTAGCTAAGGGATGTGGGCTGTGGAAGGTGCAGCAAGTGCTGCCAAAACAAGGCTTGAGTGCAATAATAGGAACAAAGTAGATTGGAAACTCGAGAGAACATTGTAAACATCTTGACCACTCCCCTTGTTTTGCTTTGTGTGATCTGACTATAAAATAAAGATCCTGCTTGCAGGCAGGGTCACTGTTTCCTCATCCAGGCACAGATCCTACCTGGCCCCAACGGTATTCTCTTGTCTGTCTTCTTTAATCCTTCACCTCCCTGCCTCAGGTTCACCCCGGGCCGTGCTGGACGGGGTTCAATTTACAAAACAGATGGTGGGCTGGACTTGGCCCACGGACCATACTATGTCCTGTATTCCTGGAGACAGAGGAGCACTATCATACACCCATGGAAAATTTATAATAAAAGTTGAACAAATATGCCACAAGGAAAACCTCCGTAATTTCCAAAAAGTAAAATTAGTGTGGATTAAAATGTAATAAAATTGCCCTCACCGAGTAGCTCAGTTGGTTAGAACGTCAACCCGATACGCCAAGGTTGTGGGTTCGATCCCTGGTCAGGGCACATACAAGAATCAACCAATGAATGCCTAAATAAAGTGGAACCACAAATCAGTGTTTCTCCCTCTCCCTCCCTCCCTCCCTCCCTCCCTCTTCCCCTACTTCTCTCTCTCCCTTCCTCTGTCTGTAAAATTAATTTTTTTAATTTTTTAAAAATCCAAGACAAGGTGAAAACAAGGGGTGGACTGCACTGAGGGCCCGGTGCTGTGCTGGGAGTTAACTCGCCTTCTCTACTTGCAGGTATGAAATAATGCACTCCTGCTGGAGGGCTGAGCCCTTGGACCGACCCACCTTCTCCATGTTGAGGCTGCAGCTAGAAAAGTTCTTGGAAAGTTTGCCGGAAGCGCAGGACAAAGCCGAGGTCGTCTACATCAACACACCGTTTCCAGAGAGCTGCGAGGGCCTGGCAGAGGGCCCCCCACTCGCTCAGCTGGACATGGACATCGACCCCGACTCTATCATTGCTGCCTGCGCGAGCAGCGCTGCTGTCAGCGTGGTCACAGCCCAAGTCCATGAGAATGGACCTCTCGAGGGAAGGTACATTCTAAATGGGGGCAGTGAGAACTGGGAAGACGTGGCTCCCGCCACCGCCGCCGCAGCAGGGACAGCAGGAAAGAACGGTGTTTTACTGGAGGACAGGCCTGTGAGGAGCGGGGTCTCCTGGTCCCAGTCCAGCACGCTGCCCCTGGGGAGCCTGCCGCCAGATGAACTTTTGTTCGCAGATGACTCCTCGGAAGACTCGGCAGTCCTTGTGTGAGGAGAGCCGAGACATTCCCAAACCAGGGAGATAGACAGACCCCTCTGCCTTAGAGACCCAGGTACGCCCCAAGTTTCTGGTATCCGTCTTCCTGCCACCGCCCGCAAGCACCAGATGAATGTTGTTCAGTACGTCATTAAAAATGCATTAATATATATTTATTTAAATAGAAAAATATATGTGTATATGGTGGAAAGAGACCTAGATTTTATATTTTAATAAAGATGACTTATTTTCTGTCACTTACCTTGCAGATTTTAAAATTTAAGCTTTAACAGCCTCATCTCTACAGCTGCTCCTTGATAACATTTGCACAGTTGAAGCTTTAACAGCCTCATCTCTACAGCTGCTCCTTGATGTTAACATTTGCACAGTTCTTGTTTTCGTTTTCCTGTTAAATGTAAAAATATTCGTAAAATGAAATTGCTTGACTTTGCTTCTGGTCTTACGAAGAATCCGATACTCCTCTGAATCACCTGTTTGATAAGAATGACCTTTTGATATGTAAAGTTTTATAACTGATTCTTTGATATAACTTCCTAATAAAATATGAATGAGGAAGGATGTGTGGTACTTACTTGAGACTTGGAAAAAGACCAGGGTTGCCGGCAGCCTCGTGGCTTTGCAAAGGAATTCCCTTAGTGCCTGATGCTCGAGGCATCTGCTCTGGCCATTCGTGGATGTTTCCTAAAGATAAGAAAAATCATCCTGGAGAGACTGAAGTTGAAGGGTGAAAAATTATTTGAAGGGTTGAAAAACGCACTGTGCGGGCAGAGAGTTAAGTGGGTTGTCGAAGAGTGTGGGACAAGTGGAGGGCTTTCCTGCATGGGAGGCAGGCAGCCGGGAGCAGGCTTAGCACTCGGCGGCCCAGGTTTGCATCCTGGCTACTCTGTGTCACAAGTCATTGTTTCTTGAGCACTGTCCGTGAACTGACCTGTTGAATCCATGCTTCATGACTTGGGTGCCAGTGCCATCATGTGTGGGCCATGAACTGAGGCTGCAAAGGCAGAGTGGCCTGGGGTGGCCCACATCTAGAGGGGAGAAGCAAGAATTCTGAACCAAGCAATCTGCTTCTGGCAGGTTCTAAGCACATGATTTGGGGGTCTGCTCCAGAGCCCCTTGACCTTTTAACTTTACTAAACACATAGATGACACTTACTGTGTGCCAGGCATGGCTCTCACTTCCATGAACTGAGGCTGCAAAGGCAGAGTGGCCTGGGGTGGCCCACATCTAGAGGGGAGAAGCAAGAATTCTGAACCAAGCAATCTGCTTCTGGCAGGTTCTAAGCACATGATTTGGGGGTCTGCTCCAGAGCCCCTTGACCTTTTAACTTTACTAAACACATAGATGGCACTTACTGTGTGCCAGGCATGGCTCTCAGTCCTCATAACAACCCTACCAGATAGGTACTATTATCTCCACTTCACAGATGGGCAGACTGAGGCAGGAAAGGCTACCTTACCCTCCCAGTAAGAGCAGCAGCCGGATGTGGTCAGTGGATCTCTCAGCCCTCGGGGCAGCCCCGCTGGGCCGGGACTGCTGTCATCCTCAGGCCCATTCACCACTGGTGAGTAGCCTCAGCCAGGTCACCAGCCTGAGAGGGTCAGCTTCTGTACCAGGCCTAGGGGTGTGGCCCTCAGTCTGGCTGCCAGCCCTAGTGCCCCGGTCTCCAGGGTGAGTAGCTCCCCCATTACTGTGAAATGCCCCATACTAGAAAGTTCTGAGGGCAGGAAAAGAATTTGCATTGTTAAGAGAATTACCAGTATCACATTTTGTCAGTAAAAAAAATAATAATTTCTACTGTTGGGATTTTGTGAATGGTGGTTTTAAAAAAATTAATAAAGCCCGGCTGGTGTGGCTCAGTGGTTGAGTGTTGACCCATGCACCAAGAGGTCACAGGTTCAATTCCCTGTCCATTGGGGCATATGCCCGGGTTGCAGGCTCCCTTCCTAGCAGGGGACCTGTGGGAGGTAGCCGATTAATGTTGATGTTTCTCATCGATGTTTCTATCTCCCCCTCTCCCTAAAATGAATTTTTAAAAATCAATAAAAATGTTTACATCTCCTTGCACAAAGCTTCTTGTTGACAGTGACTATCAAGAATGTGAATAACTCGTCATTGAAGTCTTGATCAGGAGCTGACTGGTTAGTTCAAGAAAAAAAAATGTAAAAAGTGTTCACATCTGTGAGCAAATTGAAAAACTTATTTGGAAGTTTCATATAAATTTCATATTAACTATCTAAACTGTTAAAATACAGCAGATCCTTGAATAATGTCATCTCATTATAACATTAATGAGAAGTTGTTTTGGGGCCAGGGCCATTCTCTGTTGGCGTTGGCACCGTCTCCCCGTGTCTGCGTGGGTTTTCTCCAGGGGCCCGGTTTCCTCTCACGTCCCAGAGATGTTCGTGTGAGGTGAACTGGCGTGTCTACACTGTCCCCGTGTGAGTGAGTGAGTGAGTGAGGGTGTGTGTGAGTGAGTGAGGGTGTGAGTGAGTGAGGGTGTGAGTGAGTGAGTGAGTGTGTGTGCGTGTGAGTGAGTGAGGGTGTGAGTGAGTGAGGGTGTGAGTGAGTGAGGGTGTGAGTGAGTGAGGGTGTGAGTGAGTGAGGGTGTGAGTGAGTGAGGGTGTGAGTGAGTGAGGGTGTGAGTGAGTGAGGGTGTGAGTGAGTGAGGGTGTGAGTGAGTGAGTGAGGCTGTGAGTGAGGGTGTGACTGAGTGAGGCTATGAGTGAGGGTGTGAGTGAGTGAGTGAGTGAGGGTGTGAGTGAATGAGTGAGTGAGGGTGTGAGTGAGTGAGTGAGGGTGTGAGTGGCCAGCGATGGGAGAAAGTTCTGTCCAGGATGGGTCCCGCCTGGCACCCTGAGCTGCTGGAGAGGCTCCAGCCACCACCATCCTGAACTGGAATCGGGCTGGGAAATCATCATCTTGTTTTTATTCTCTTAAATGTGTGTAGAGCTCCCATTTATTTTAATGTTTAATATTAGGAGCATTTTGGATCTTTGTTTAGAAGTCTGGTGATGTTTTTGTGACCAGAAATAAGACATAGGAACTTAACTCTTGTTTATATTAATTAGCCTGTAGTAAAGATGGTTTCATTGTACATCGTTTCAGGTAAAGCCACAGTTTCTAAAAACCTATAGAGCAGTGGTTCTCAACCTTCCTAATGCTGTGACCCTTTAATACAGTTCCTCATGTTGTGGTGACCCCCAACCATAAAATTCTTTTCGTTGCTACTTCATAACTGCAATTTTGCTACTGTTATGAATCGTAATGTAAATATCTGATATGCAGGATGTATTTTCATTGTTACAAATTGAACATAATTAAAGCATAGTGATTAATCACAAAAACAGTATGTAATTATATATGTGTTTTCCAATGGTCTTAGGCGACCCCTGTGAAAGGGTCGTTCGACCCCCAAAGGGGTCGCGACCCACAGGTTGAGAACCGCTGCTATAGAGGATGTTAAGTGAGGACTTACTGTACTCTTTTATATTTCTACTTTTAATTATCTAATGTAAACAAGAATGTAATGAATAGCTCATCAGATTCCCATAGCGCCCCATCCTGTGCCATTTGCTCAGTTTGTGCTTCGTGCCCTGAGGAGGGCTGGGACCCTGGACCGAGTCTGCCGTGGGAGAGGAGAGGAGTGAGCCAGCGTGGGCTTCTGGCTTTTCTTGAGATATCAGCACACAGAGAAGTGCCCTTCATCCAGCCCCCACGATGCGCCAGGGCCTGGGTGACACGGGTGTGAAGAGCAGCACCTTTACAACCCACTTGCTTTTCCCAAGAGGAAAACGGGCTGGACCACCATCGTTCAGACATCTGAAATCTCCTCGCTGAGAACTTTGCAACCCGCGTCCCCTCGGTCACATTTGACTGTCCGAAAGTTTTGAAAGAACGAACTTTCAGAGACTCCAATCTTGGCAAACTGGTAGTGTCTTCTGAGCATTAACTAAAAATAGCCTTTCCAGTTCTCTTTTGTAGGGGGTCTTATGGGCTAACCATGGGGGAGCGGAAACAAGTCATTGTCTTCAGCTGGGCTGGGACAGGGCCAGCGAAGAAGGCCAGAAAAATACAGAAACACTCCTGACCTGCAGATGGAGACTAGCTCTGCCTTGGGAGGGTTCTTTTCTCTTTCTTTTCTTTTCCTTTCCTTTCTTTCCTTTCTCTCCTGTGCTCCCTTCCCCTCCTCTCTCCTCCCCTCACCCTTTTCCTGACTTTTCTTACTGAATAGGAAGAAGGGAGGATCAGGGTCCCAGGAGCAGGGACACAGCCAGCAGCAGAGGCTGCTAGGAACTGGTCCTTGCTGCTGTCCTTGCGATCTTGGGCAGGTTGCTTGACGCTCCTGGAGCCCGAGTTTCCATCAGTGCTCGGTGAGCACCTTCCCCCGCACCCCTGGGCGGCTGTGTAGGACGGGCAGGCAAGATTTCAGAGGGAATGTTAGGCTTGCTAGAGGCTTTCCCCAATTTGTGGCTTCTGCCAAGTTCATTCCTTATGGTGTAAAAACTCACCATGTCATATCAGAAATATTTCCCCTGATATGTTACCAACTCACTCCAAAATAATACAAACTAACTGGAAAAGAAAAGAAGCCCACCGTTGTCAGTGATGCGTGCAGCCAGGCAGTTGGCAGAGGGAAGGAGAGTGGCCCCCCTCGCTCACCTCAGATGGCTGTTGGGCTCAGAGTTGGCAGCTCCAGACACATCCACGCCCAAAGATGCCCCTCCTATCAGTCCTGTGAGCCACAGGCCCCTCCCTCCCAGATGTGGGTGATGGAAGCAGTGCTGGCTTTATCAACAGGTTCGGGAACCTTAGGGGAGTCAGTGCCCTCTGAGGAGGGGGACACTCTCCCTCTGCCCCCACCAAGCAGAGGTTCCCCGTGCAGGCAGCAGGCCAAAGCCCCATCTCTTATCACAAATCAGATTGATTCTGGCCAGACTAGTCCTGACTCAAACCAAGACCTTTGTAACTTCTGGTCATCAGCAAAACAAGCTGGAACCTCTGCTGAGTCAGTGGGAAAACCACCCCCACAGAATAAATCCGCTACGAAGGCAACTTAACTTCTCTAAAGACGTTTCGTTAACCTTGGCTGACAAACGGAAAACGGGAAGTTGTGTTTTCTTTAACAAGCATTTCACTCTTTTAAAGCTCGAAGAACAGAAGTAAAATGGCCCTTCTGTTTAACTTTAAAGAGCATGTCTAAATGACAACTTATTTGTATTTAAAGTAATGATTACTGAAACTCACCCAAAGACCACTACGTTAGGATACTTTTGTGTATAATTTTTTATTGAAATGGATTGTACATAC